AACATAGTAAGAATCTTTATAATATGTTTTGTCTAATTCACTTATATTGTTGCTTCAAAATCGAGTTTTTCATCCTGTGCTCTGTTGCAGTGGGTACATGTCTCTAGAGTAAGCAATAGATAGGTTATTTTCAGTAAAATCAGATGTATTCAGCTTTGGCGTTTTGGTGCTACAGATTGTGAGCGGGAAGAAAAATAGAGATTTCTATCATCCAGGGCAACTTGGCCATGTAAGTGTACCAAGTTTAGAAGTATTCTTATATTATATGCATGTGTTCCAATAAGGTTCAGGGATACTTTTAATCAGTTCAATTATCAGTCAGTTATCAGTCATTATCCGTTTCGTTTAACAGTAATCGGTGATTATCGGTAATCAATCAGTCCTTAATCAGTAAACAGTATGAGGGTTGTTACACATTTCAAAACTCTCGTAACTGAGTATTTTGAGACAAAGGGATAGTCAGATTTGGGGAGAGAGGATCTGATACCTCTCTCAAACTACTAATATTGTAGTGGATTGTTCGGGTATGGAATCTCTATAAAGAATAAAAGCCATTGGAATTGATTGATGAGGCTCTATGAGAATCATGCAACCAAACTGAAATGTTGCAATCAATCCATGTGGGTCTTTTATGTGTGAAAGAATGTCCAGCGGATAGGGCAAGCATGTCATCTACGGTCAGGCCCGGCCCTGAGATTTCCGGGGCCTAAAGTCGATAATCAACTAATAATTTTCTGGGGCCCTTCGCACTTTTTTTTTGAATGAAAAAAAAAATTGAAAGTAAATGACAAAAGATTTGTGTTAAAATCACAAAAAATATTTAGCATTACATTACAAAAACTAATAAGTATCACTTGATCCTCCCTCTTCTTGTATTTTTAGAAGCAAATAAATCAATCATACTTGCATAATCTAATTTTTTTGCAAAATCATTTCCAATGAATGATAATACTAATTATTTTAAATGGGCCTTTCAATTTTTTAATGGATTAATTTATTTTAAGTTAATTTGGGTCTTCCTTAATTTTTTTTGGACTTAAAATGTACTTAATATATTAGACAAAACTATAATAAGAGAGACTCCTTTTTTGGGTCTATTTTCAATGGATAACAATTCTAATTTCTTTCAATGGCCTTTTAATTTTTTAATGGGTCAATTTATTTTAAGTTAATTTGGATCTTTTTTAATTTTTTTAGACTTAAAACATACTTAATATATTACACTAAATTATAATCGGAGGGGCCCCTTTTTTGAGTCTATTTTGAGGGGCCCTAGGCCATGGCCTTGTGGCCTATGCCCTAGGGCCGGCCCTGTCTACGGTTATGATGTTGGGTAGTGAAGTTGCATTGCCTTAGGCCGAATAGCTTTGTTTCTTCATTGCAAGAAATGTTGTTGAGCCTGGATATTTATCAAGCAAGGAAACAACAACTATGGGCAATGAAATCACTGTTACTCGATTAAGTGGTCGATAAAAATTATACAATGATTAAGGTTTACCTTAATCATTGTTTCTGGTTACAAGTTTACATGCACACAAAGTGTCAGGAATATGCATATTGACAACATGCACTCTTTTCTGTAGACAAATTTTTCACATCATTCTATATAAATTTTCTATATAATTTTTATGTTTGCATATCATTACTCTTTGTTTCATAACTAGTTCTAGTTTGCCTACTTGTACATGTGAAATGGAACTTCATTTCAGCATTTTTATTTCTCAATTTGCTTGGTCCAAACACATTACAATGTCATATGCAATAGTTGTAGGGATTAAGAGATACAATTTCACATTCTCTATATTCAGATACATATGTGAAACACCATTCAAAGGCTACAAATATCGTGTAAGTTTTATGGAAGAACACGACATATTATATGCGTTAACTCTGATCTCTTTACAACGATTATAACACCTATATATATATATATATATAAGACAAAAACCTTAAAATATACATGCTATATGGAAAACTTCCAAAAACAAACATTCCTTTCACATTGTGTTCGTTAGCTAAACAACCTCAAAAGTTTTCGACCATAACAATTAAAAAATATCACCAAGAATTGTCTTCTATCGTGCCTCTACCACTGTTGTGCTGACCATGTTTGCTGAACATTGTTCAACCTCGCTTCCTGTTGACTCTGCTTCTAGCAGATTCCTTTCAATGAAAAAACCAGGTTGTTTGGGGTGAGTCAGTGCACCCTCTCCGCCCAACAGCAGAACCACACTTGCCATGTTAGGCCTGTCCTCTGGCCGTTGTTGCACACACAATAAACCAACATGAATCGAATGCAACACCTCAAGTATATTGCGTGAGTTTTGTATTGGTTCATCAATCAATTCTCTGGTTCTGTCTTCCTTGTATAATCTCCATGCCTGAACAATTAGAAACACTTTTAACTGATTGTTTTAATCTATATACAGAATGACGTTGCTGAATTGAGCCTTTCTATTAAACACCCTTTGAAATGGCTCTAAATTAGTTTTAGAGATATCATTACTACATCATTCTGTAACTTTCTTTTGTAAGATTATATTATTCAACTCTATGCTTACATGCCCGAGAAGGTAGAGGTGATGGTCTTGGTGATAGAATCCCCTGTTCTCTTCCCACTCACTATTTCTAGTACCAAAACGCCAAAGCTAAATACGTCGGACTTTACTGAGAAGAGTCCTTCAATTGCATATTCGGGAGACATGTAGCCACTGCATGAAAAAAATGAACAAATAAACCAATTTATATAGTTGAAAGAGAAAAATTTTGAATTGGTTTGAAGATTCTTACTATGTTCCAATCACTTTTTTCGTATTTGCTTGCCTCTCGTTTGCTCCAAAGATTCTGGCTAAGCCAAAGTCTAATATTTTTGGGTTCATTTCATAATCTAGTAGAATATTGCTTCCTTTTAGATCTCTATGGATAATTCTCAGTCTGGAATCTTGATGAAGATAAAGAAGCCCCCGAGCAATTCCATTGATGATGTGGAAGCGCTTAGGCCAATCCAGTAGCATCTTCTGTGATTGATCTGTTCAATTTTTCACCCAAGTTAAACCAAGCTTCTAGCTAGTAGTTAACTTCTCGAGTATGTATAAGAAAGCCATACCGAAAATAAAGGAGTCCAAGTTATTGTTGGGCATGAATTCATATATTAACATCCTTTCTTCTCCTTGAATGCAATACCCTAGAAGCTTTACAAGATTTCGATGTTGAAGCTTGGCAATGCAGACAACTTCATTCTTGAACTCATCGACTCATTGTTTGGAATCCTTTGATAGCAACTTCACAGCTATTTCTTGTCCACCTTCCAACATACCCTGAAAAATTATACGACATTTTTGTTTGTTTAAACGAGTTCGGATACTAAAAACTCTTGTTAGTGTAACTACATTGTTACCTTGTAAACAGGTCCAAATCCGCCCTCTCCAAGCTTATTGTTGATTGCAAAGTTATCCGTAGCTTTAGTGATTGCAACCAAGTGGAATAATGGTAATTCTATATCTTCATTCTTGGATTCTTGGTAGTAACCTTGTTCAGGATGACCTATTGTTCTTCCTGCAAAAAGGAGGTGTCAAGAACATTTAAATGAAACAATTTGTTCAAAACAAGTATACGTGCCAGCTAGAACACCTACAGAGGTGAGATATTGAAGCATTATTGACTAATTGTTATTACCTTCTCTCTTTTGCCACTCCTTCTTCTTCCAAATGTACAATGAAATGGCCAAGCCAAGTATAAGTGTTGCTGTTGAGACTACTGAGATGACTATGATCGTCTTTGCCTTGTTCCAATTGTGGCCAGCTTGACCTAATACCGAATCAATTTAGTCAAAATCATTTAAATTTGGGGAAACTAAGAAATTCCAGTTGGGTTATAAGGGATCTAAGGTGAATTCATCGCAATTTATCTACTCAAATGAAATGAATGATCAATGAAGACGATGCAAACTTGCTGTGACTCTCTCTTTTTGTTAATTTGAAACCAAATTCAGACATGAGAATTTATATATCAAGATTCTTTGTGGAAATTAATATGCACATATTAGCATCAGCTGTGATTGTTTGCATTATGTATAGTGTTAGATGAGTATAGAAAACTAAGAAAAGCACAGGTTACATAGTATGATATACAATCAAGAATGAGCTAGATAATGAATTTGATCATGCTGATCCAGATTCAATGAGACCTAATATGTTTAAGGGACTAAATTTGAAGAGGGCTAAAAATTTTATGGCATCAATGCTCTTAATGGGGAAGAAATTCTTACCAAATTCAGAGGCAGCCATTCTAACATAAAGATCTTGGCCATTTTCAATGACTCTGATATCAACAAGTTCATTAAACCAAAGCAAACACCCACTTCCCTCTCCACTTACATCCAAATTGGCATAAGCCATACACGAGCAATTCTTCAAACACATTGTCTCACATTCCTTAAGGGTCATGCTCACATTGAACCATGAATTTTAGGGGTGAGCACGGTCTAGATTGGACCGAATTGGGGTAAAACCAGGACTAATCCGTTATCTACGGTTTCTGAAAAATTGGAACCAATCCAATCCGTTTAAATCATGGAACCAATCCATTTAAACACGGATTGGATCGGTTTAGGATCACAGATTCACATAATTAAATAACAAAAAATATATATATATATATATAACACTTTAATTTCATAAAAATATAAACATTGCGCTATATTAGTTCTACAATAGTAACATATCTTTTTATAATAGCGACATACTGTTCTAGAATTTAAACAACTATAAGAAAACTGGTTTCACCATAAGTATTTAGACCATTACAAATTAAAACTAAAAACTAACAAACAAAAGTAATAAAAGAAGATACTATGCAAGTTTAGGTTTGAGTTTAGGTTTTATTTGGAATAAGAGAAGATATTATAAGGGAGGATGTATAATAAAAATATATACTATTTGTATACGGTCCGGATCGGTTCTATTCCGGAACCGAGGGGTTCAATCCGGAACCAATCCGTGGACTACGGATTTTTAATTCTTCAATCCAGAACCGAACCACGGATTCAAAAAACCAATCCAAACCTATCGGATTGGACTGGACTGGATCGGTTTACGGATTTCACGGATTCCTTGCTCAGCCCTAATGAATTTTCTATCCGGCACTTTAACACCGGAGTACTTCCAAAACTTATCTCCATTAACACCACTACAATTCAAGGGTGTTCTTCGAACACACCCATTTGACCAATCCATACCCCAATCTTTAGGAAATTTCAGTTCAAATCCTTGCAAACAACCACATTCTGGGGAGTTACTAACAGTACAGAGACCATAAGGACCGCAAGATGCAAAGGTATCGCAATTTGTTATCTCTGTAGTCAAGTGTTCAACCCAACTGGTGGATGATCCTTCTATCCATGCCATGCGCCTTAGAACACCATCCTGATTCATCACCATTCTTGTGACAACCGAGCTATTGAGAAGATCGTAATTGAAATAAGTCTCATTCTGATTCAACACAAAGGTGAAATTGTAAATGGGGTTTGAAGATATAGTAGGCATTCCACTGAACAGGACACCAGGCTCATATTGTATGTATAATCTCCTTGAGCTGGATTGTCACTCCTCTGCCATGAGAATCCATACTGTATGTATAATCTCCTTGAGCTGGATTGTCACTCCTCTGCCATGACCACAGGCTCATATTAAGCCCAGTTTCATAGTGAATTCCAAACTTCATACCGGGTAAAAACGTGTCAGTCGGATAGTCAAAACTCTGCCACAATTAATTCTCCGGGTTATCATCATCAGCATTTCTTAGAACCAAATTCCCTGATTCCAGGAGCTCTGCAACTGGGTTTTTTCCGGGTTTTGTCAAATTGGAAGACCAAATGATACTTTGTGTACTGTTGAGGAGGATGAGAACGCCTTGTTGGGTAACCATTAAAATGCCCGAGGAATCGGTGACGGGGGGTTTCTCTGTTGGCAACCCATACAACAGTCCTGGAATCATTAGATATCTTGTTGTACCATATGCCAACGTATCGGTTTTTGGAACTTCCAGGGCTGAAAAACCTGAGCGCGAAGCTTCCTCCAATGGATACTATTGTGTCACCGTCTTTAACGGATTGAGTTGTGGATATGGTGTTCACTGCAGTGGTGGAGACTACTAAGATGGAACAGAGAAAAGATGAGAGTAGTAGATTGGTAATGGAATCCATTGAGGGTGTAAGAATTTATGTATTATTGATTGATTGATTACAAGATTGTTTGTTTTGATGTATTGTATTACAAATCAGAGTGGCATTATATAGGAGATACCATATGCCAACGTATCGGTTTTTGGAACTTCCAGGGCTGAAAAACCTGAGCGCGAAGCTTCCTCCAATGGATACTATTGTGTCACCGTCTTTAACGGATTGAGTTGTGGATATGGTGTTCACTGCAGTGGTGGAGACTACTAAGATGGAACAGAGAAAAGATGAGAGTAGTAGATTGGTAATGGAATCCATTGAGGGCTTGTTTAGTTTCTGCACAATTATGATATTGTATAGAATCAATCAAGCAATCCATTGCAGTTTAAGTCAAAAAGAGAAAATTCAAAGGCTTTATTAGCCCTGTTTGGTAGAGCTGTGGGAAAGTGCTTATAGCTTATGCCTAAACAGCTTATAGCTTATAACTTTCAGCTTAAGCTGATTTCCAGCTTATTCTTAAAGCATCTCCTGCCCCACTCAAAGAATAAGCTGATTTCTGACTTCCACAAAGCTATAAGCTATAAGCTATAAGCTAAACCAAATACATCAAAATAGCTTAAATTAAGCTGAAAGCTGAAATAAGCTGTAAATAATTTCTGCCAAACAGGCACATTATTTGTTTATACCAAGTCTTCCTCATATTTTCTCCATTAGACTTCCAATTTGGTGAGTTAGACAAATTAGCTTCCAACTTCTCTTGGTGGGCCAACAAAGTTTATTATGAGAAAACGACAGGCGTTGAATGAATCTCACTCTCCATGGGAGAGGGGGAGAGAGAGAGACTTGTTTAGGATTCGTTAACGTTTATATTTATATTTATTGAATTTTTAGGTACCGTAAAAAAAACTCATTTGATTTCTATTTTTATTTTCAAATTTCATAAACACAAAAAAAATTGGTTTACACCTGTTTAATATATATATTTTTTCATTTATTATTGTTATTAATTTTATTTTCTTCCCCTATTCTCTCACGCTTCTAATGATCACCCATTGCTCATCGTCACCCATTATCGATGACTTCATCTGTTAGCTTATCTCTTGCCGAACCAACTTTTACGAGTGGTAATCACCTTTGGCTACTACCTTAGACGACTGACTTATCACCATTTTTGACCATTGACAACCACTTTCGACCATCACTTCACATAGCCAGCAACCACCTCTCGTTAGCACCTCCAACACTTTCACCAACCACTCATTCACTTTTTTTTTTTTTTTTCAAAATGAAATTTTAAAACACTTTTATACAAAACATATTTTCAATTTTTGTTTTTATTTAAAACAAACAAAAACATGTTTAATATTTTTTTTATATAATTATAAATATTACCAAACCACACCTTAATATCAATACTAATGATTACCAAACCACACCTTAATTATAAATTACCAAACCACATCTTACTTCAATGGCACGAGTTAAGACTAATGATTATTTTGTTAACGTGATTCTTTGCCTTAATTCACCCTTTTGTTGTCAAATTTTAGCTAAAATAATCAATAAAGACGAAAGATTAAAATAATCAATAAAATAAAATGTTATATCTAAATTATGATCATTTTATTTTTCTCTCATAACTATCAAATTAAATTAACTGAAAAAACAACTATCATTTCAAATAATTTTTTTTAATTATATTAAAATTGTCATAAAAAAATAATTAAAATAGTCAAGTTTGAAAGCGGATAGTTTTCTCTGGTAATTCTCCCTCCATAACCAAGACGGCTAAGGGCACGTGATTGGGTGTTTTTTTTTTTTGACTTTTCAATTTAAGGTATTTGGAATTGAATATATTTAAAAATTGACTAAAGAAATTATTAATTTTTTTAAGGAAAATGAGTGAGGGGACTAATTAGTACTACTACTAATGATGTGGTAGTGGGTCTCACCATAAATAATTTGATGTTTTGGTCTTGGTGTTGTATTTTTTTTTCTTTTTTTATTAAATGCCATGTCATTAGTGATCTTTTTAGAGCTCCAAAATTAATGATCTCTATCATTGTTGTTTTTTTAATAAAAAACTACTACTTCAACCTCTTACTCTTCCCCTGTTCAAAAACCTCTTACTCTTCCCTGTCATCATTTTGTCTCATCACAAAAAATTAAAATTTTTGAAACTAAAATTTAGAAATAAAATTATTTTTTGGGAACTAGATAATTTTATTACAAAAAGTATCGTTATTATAATTTTAACAACAAAAATTGGACATTAGTGATGAATTATTATCCTTTTGGGACTAAATTTTTTGGCTCAAAAAATAAACTATTTTAAAACCAAATTATTTTGCCTCTAAAAGTTTATTTATTAGTGATATTTTCAAAATTTTGTCACTAAATGCCTTATTTTTTACTTTTATAGACGATCTTTTAGCAACTATTCTCATGACGATGGAAATTGATTCCTAAATATGTTTTGCAACAAAATTTTCATTTTTAGAGACCAAAATATTTTGTCTCTAAAACTCTTATATAATATAGTGTCTTCTAATTTTCTCTGGTAATTCTCTCTCTACAACCAAGACGATTGGTTGGTTTGGGATGTAAGTTAGTTTTTTGATTTTTTTTGGCTTTTTTAGCATTGGGCTAAAAAGTCTCATTTGGAATAAATTTTTTTGACTTTTTAAACTTTTATAAGAGAAAAAATGAAATGATATTTTTTCTTGTTTGACTAAAATAGTCTATTTTGTCCTATATAACTATTTTAATCCCAACCTTTATTGTAAACGGGCCTGAGGCAGGTGATTGGTTTTTTTTTTTTTTTTTTTTTTTTCAATTAAGGTGTTTGGAATTAATTTTATTTAAAAAGTGACTAAAGGATTTTTTTTATAAATAAAAATTAATTTGACTCTTAAAATTTTTTAACCGATAACAAATAAAATTTTTGATATTTTACTTCTTTTAGCTAAAAATTTAATTTTTTTTAACACATTCCAAATGTCTCTCAAAAAGTAATTTTTTTAGCTCCATTCCAAACACCCTTTTATTCTATTGTTAATAAAAAAAAATACTTAATATAATTATGTCAAAATTATAAGATTACATATAATTTTTTAAAATCTAAAAGGTTAGTCAGTATAAATTTAGCTAAAAAAATTAATTTGTTGTTTGAAATTTAACCCAATTATGTTGTCATTTTTTAAAGAAAATAAAATTTTAATATGATATTTGTTATCTTTAAAGTGATTTTTTTACCAATATATCACAGTAAGCCTTCGTTTGAGATGAACTAATTTACCTTGATCTTTTTATTTTTTTTTAGCTATTTTAGTTTGTTTAAAAAAGTTATATTTTGACTCTTTTTTTTTTGTAATTGATTTGATAAATGTGAAAGAAAAATAAAATGATTATAGTTTGAATATAATATTTTGTATTATTAACTAAGTTACTTTGTTTTGTATTTAACGACTAATTTAGCCAAAAATAACTCATGCTAAATGAGGCCTAATGATATATGTATATAAAAAATATTTGATAGTCTCATAAATGTTTTACAATTCAACCCATGATAATATAATATGACAAGTGTCAGTTTTTTATTAGTTAGGCCATCTCCAACATCTAACCAAATTCATCACCAACGTGACGACTAGGTGTATTTTTCTTCGCTCCGTTCTCCTTTTGTTCTCATTGGGTTTGAAATGTCCGGAAGTTGTTCTTAAAATAAAGTTCTTGTTCTTGTTTTGTTCGGTGTTGAATTTCACTTGTTTCGGAGGGTGCACGGTAAGTCCGGAGTGCCTGGGGGTCGAACCAGAAATTTCTAGGCTCTGGTCTAGGGCCGCACATGCAGGGTGGGGCCGCACGTGCGGGGGATGAGGCCGTACATATGGGAGGCCCGCTCCGCACGTGCGGGGGCAAGTGTCGCACGTGCGGACGGCCTGAGTCCGAGAAGCTCTGTTTTTTTTCTCTCATCTTTTTGGCTGTGTGTATCACTTTTTATGTATCTCTCTCTCTAAAAACATATTGCTCTCCATTCTCTATATATTCTACCTCAAAACAAGATCAAAACCCTTGATCTTCTTCCATCCATTTGAGATTCATCCATAGCTCCTTCATCAAAGATAAAGAACTCCTCAAGAGCGACGTTGTGTGCGGTGGATATCTCTTTCCAACGCCATCAATTCTAGGGTTTCATCTCCTTTTCTTCTTCAACCTTGAGGTAGGGAATCACTTAGAGTTATATATATGTTTTGCAAGCTTTTGATTGATTTAGGGAATTCTCCTTTGTTGATTTTTTGAAAATTGGTTTTGGTGCCCAAGAAAATTGAGGATGTGTAGAGGAAGTTCATCTTTGTGCTTTTAAAGACTTTTCTTGGGATGTTGCACCACATGGGTAGGGATTTTGGTATTTAAAAATGGTTTTGCAAAAGGGTTGAAGAAATGTTGGTATTTTTTGTGAAAAACCTAGAAATTGGGAGTTTTTAGAAATAATGCGGGGATTAATGGATTTTCTTGTGTCATGGAAAAGAATGAGTGAAAAATTTCATGATATTGTTGCAAAAATGATAATGTTGCTTGGTATATGAAGATTGAGAATTTGTTTTAAAATTTTGTTAAATGTATGAACTTGTGTAGCTATGAGATGATAGATTGTCGAGTTACTTGAAGGACGAAAGTTGAGAATTGTGCAAGGTAGGGAAAATGTTGCCACTTGTTAGTAATGTAAATTGAACACGTAGCTATTTTGTGATGAATAATATTGAAGAAGGAAAATGAGAAACGTGGTTGTTGTAGTATTATTGTTGTGATACTTGAGAATGAATAATGTTGCGAGACATTAATAATTGTTGCATTACACGCTTTTTTCATTGATTATTATGCATTTTGAATCAAATTTGGAAACGTTTGCATTGAAATAAGTTTATATATTGAAATGGGAACTATGGAAATGTTTATGGGGTAAATACGTTGGTAAGTCTGGTTAGGAGGTGTATATGAAATTGATTAGTTGGTCTGAGTGTCCGGG